TCAACCACGCTCCACTCCTTGTGTCTTCTTAGGATATCACCCCACCACGAAAGGGTATAAATGCTATGAACCCGTGTCTCAAAAAGTTTATGTCTCTCGTCATGTTCGGTTCGTCGAGGATCAGTTTCCATATATCAAATTGTCATCCCTCCCGTCACCCTCTCCTATAACCCCTATTTTTCCTCCAAGCCCAGGCTCACATGCTCCTGTCCCACTGACGGTCCAACCCCAGACCCGTCCCACCAGTCACGGACGACAACCCGACACCCTCCCTATGGACACGCCACAGACGGTCCAACCCCAGAACTGTGCCCCAACCCACCCTCGACCGTCACCTACTCCTCCCCAAAACACACAACCGGTTAACCGACCCCCGCCTCAAAACACACACACCATGCAAACCCGAACCAAATCTGGAATTTTCAAACCTAAAGCCTATACCATTACCACCCTTGATACTACCCCACTTACCACTGAGCCTACCACTTACCGCCAAGCCTCTGGTAATAGTTTTTAGTGTCAGGCTATGGATGAGGAGTTTATTGCTTTGAATGAGCAACGTACATGGGACTTGGTTCCACCACCCAAGAACCGCACTCCGATTGGTTGCAAATGGGTGTATCGCATTAAACGGAATGCTGATGGATCTGTTTCAAGGTATAAGGCTCGTCTTGTCGCTAAAGGTTATCATCAGGAGTATGACATTGATTACAAGGAGACATTCAGTCCTGTGGTCAAGCAACAAACAGTGCGCCTGGTCCTCTCTTTAGCACTCAACCGTGATTGGCCTCTTCATCAACTAGATGTTAGCAATGCCTTTCTTCATGGTACAGTGGACAAGGAAATTTATATGGAGCAGCCCCCGGGGTACATAAATCCCGCTCATCCTCACTATGTTTGCAAGCTCCGCAAATCACTATATGGTCTCAAACAGGCACCCCGTGCATGGTACACACGCCTCTCCTCTTTTTTGCAGGGCCTTGGATTCAAGTGCTGCATTCATGATACCAGCTTGTTCACCAGACACTGCTCTCGTGGGACTATTTTTGTCCTTGTCTATGTTGATGATATTGTTCTCACTGGCAGCTCTTCTACTCTCATCTCAGAAGTTACTCAGGCCATGCACCGTGACTTCAAGCTCAAAGAACTTGGACCTCTTCATTACTTCCTTGGCATTGAGGTTCAGCGCACACAAGATTCTATACTTCTCCATCAATCCAAATATGCCCGTGATCTTCTACGCCGAGCTGGGATGTCCGACTGTCATTCGGCTATTACTCCTATGGCTACGAGACCTATCACTAAGCCTTCGTTGCCTTTCAAGGATATTTCTCATTTTCGGAGCATTGTTGGCGGTTTACATTACTTGGCTGTCACTCGTCCAGACATTCAGTATGCTGTTAATCGAGTGTCTCAGACTATGCACAACCCCACTGAGCAGGACTATCATGCCTTGCAACGCGTTGTGCGCTATCTCAAAGGCACTTTGAATCATGGTCTTCTTTTTCGCAAGGGGGGATTCGACCTATCTGTCTACTCTGACTCTGACTGGGCCAATGATAAAGATGATCGCAAGTCTACCACGGGCTACATACTCCTACTCGGTCTTAATATCATCTCTTGGTGCACGAAAAAGCAGACTCGTGTTTCTAGATCATCCACTGAAGCTGAATATCGAGCTATGGCTGCAGGGGTTGCAAAAGCTATGTGGCTTCGATATATCACTGATGCGCTGGGTATTCCTCCGAGGTTTGGCTTCAATATGACACTGTTACTCAGCTGATAGACACAGTGGTTTTTAGGCTAAGAAGTACTAGCGTACTTCGTACACCCGTGTCTGACAGTGAAACATGCTCTACTCCAATACCGTCCGTGATACTGAGGTGTAGTACAAAGGAGGAGTCTCGTCGATCGTCTGTAAGAATGGTTTGGCGAAGGCGGTCAAGCTTTTGAGTACTTATGTTCCAAGCTGCCCCTCGTCTCCGTTGATCAGCTTGCGGGGGGATATTAAGAAGTATAATTAAATTAGGATGCTTCTTTCCTTTCCTACTAGGATTATTCTTTCCTTTCCTACTTGTACTTTGATTACTCTTGTATTCCCTATATATAGGGTCATATCTCTCAATATTCAATAAGACAAGTTATTATCAAATTGTATCAATTACTATTAATATTAGTAATTTTATTATTGTTACTATTATTATTATTACTATTATTATTATATTTATTATTACTATTGTTATTATTACTGTTACGATTATTATTATTACTATTATTATTATTATTGTTGTTGTTGTTACTATTATTACTATTAATATTAGTATTACTCTTAATATTCTTATTACTATTATTATTATTATTACTATTACTATTACTATTACTATTACTATTACTATTACTATTACTATTACTATTACTATTACTATTATGACTTTAATTATTATTACTATTGTTATTATAATTATTACTATTATTATTATTACTACTTCTAATTTTATTATTACTATTATAATGATTAATATTATTATTATCATTGTTACTAATATTATTATTACTATAATTATAATAATAATTATTAATATATATATTATTATTATTATTTCTATTATTATTGTTATTACTATCATTATTAGTATTATTATTATAGTTATTATTATTATACTATTATTACTACTATTATTTTTAATTGTAATATTATTATTGTTTTTATTATCAAAATTTATATTATTATTATTACTATTATTATTAATATTTCTATTATTATAACTATTATAATAAAACTTTTAATTTTAATTTTAATCAAATTATATCAGATCAGAATAGACCATATCAGATCAAACCATATCAAATTCAATCAGATCAGATCTAATCAGATCAGATCAGATCAGAACTTCAACAAATCAGATCAGATCAGGCGAACGGAACACAACTTAATTTAATCAAGTTTTTTGTTAATCAGATTAGGCATAACACAATGAATTTTACTTTGCAAAAATGTAGCTAGATCACCTAAATTTTGCTTTGAAAGAAAATAGGAAAATTAAAAACTTCTAGAATATTTACCTTTGAAAAAACTTCAAGATTACATACCATGAAACAAATTAAATTAGCAATTCTAGATATGTAGAATAAAAAATGTTACCTCATTTGTAGATATGAAGAGTTAGAAGTGAATAGAAAATGTATGGTTAGGAGCTTGGTGGTACACTTTTGGTACAAATTGGTGCAGCATGCATTACTCATGTAGAATACTTTGTCTCTATCACATTTTTATATTTTTGTAATGTCTCAAAATAGGCACCAAATTTACTTTACTTTCTATTTTGGTAATGAATATGTGACTCAAAATAACTCTTTCTCATCGGAACAAATATTATTTAATCATTTAATTTTATTTTCCAATAACTTTTTTTTAAATTACGCGAAAGTCAAATTATAAACTTTTTATGCGCAAGACAGCGGGATGGAATAATTAATAAGAACACAATTCACTATAAAAAACGTGCTTTTGTCATGGATTTTTGTCACGTATCCGGCCGTGACAGCATTTGTCACGAAAAATAGTTTGTCACGCCTCATTTGACACGGAAAATTAAACAGTCGTGACAAAAATCCGTGACAAATAGCCTTGTTTGAAAAATATATAACTACAGTCCGACCGTGACAAATTACGTGACAATTGCGTGTTTTTTGTATTCTTCGTCTTAAAAAAATTCTCGTTTACTATTCACGCGGTCATACTTTATTTATTTTCTTTGTTTATTTAATTTCATTAGTAACTTGATAAATATATTGTCATTGTCAAGGAA